CAATGATTACAAAGTCTCAAACTGTTAATAAATAAATAAATAAACCTCAGATGAGGCTTACCAGCGATGGTTGTCTAATTGGAAACCATAAAGTTCGTCCAAGAACAAGCTCATCATTACATCACCTGCATGCATCCAGGAACAAAAGGAAAATAAATCCACCTACCCTCACAAGGTCAGTCCTAGCTTCAAGCCAGGACTGTATTGCCTAGTGAAAATAGAAAGGTACAATTGAAAGAACAAACCTCCAACTTCCATGTCCACCACACCCCCAAAGAACAAAGCTCGCTTCTTATGAACACACATAGAAAACCCAGCTCGAGGTCCAGGAGGCATCCCGCTTTTTTTCACCTTTAATATGCATTGATAAATACACAAAAACAAAACGGTCACCAAAGAAAACAGTGGTTTGAAGTAAAAACCTTGTTCCATTCCCAAGTCCTAGGATCAAGAGACCACAAGTCTGAATGAACAACTCCTTTCTCAGAGCCAGTTTTATCAGATGAAACTTCTTTGGAATAGCCACCATATAAGAAAATCTGTCATGTTAAAAAGAGACCACAAGGTCAAGGCTGTTAAGGATGTCAAGATATGACAGGCATTATGAAGTTATTCTGAATCACTCACCTCATCTTGGTACACAAAAAACTGAAAACCGCTTCGGGCACTTGGCCACATGGAACCCGGCCTAGGAGTTATTTCTTGCCACTGGAATGCAATGTCGTAAAAGTATTAATTAAACATGTGTGTGTGTGTGTGTGTGTATACATGCACACAGATATATAGATTAACGCGACACAGCGAAGATATCTTTACCTTGAACTGATCAAGGTCAAATACATAGAGATCATTATGGTACCTGCACAGCACTTTATTATGGTCAACCCCAACTTCAACTGTCATGCAACAATACACAATGAAAACCAGTTTAGTTAATAAAAAAGATTTGCTTGAAAGCCCATAACACAATATCTGAGAAATCGGTCCGCATTAAAAGAGAAAATGTATTTTAAAGGACAGTAAATATGTCCAGAAATTTTTGGAAAGAACAGAGATACAATAAAACCAACTTTGCAGCTAAATTTCACATGGTGCTTTGGATCTGAGCATCAAGCCAACATAAAAAATCAACACCAAATCATGAGATAAATAATTATGAAACCTTCAAAATGTTAATAAAAATCATCAACAACCTCACTTCTCTAAGAGTGTCATAGAAGCCTCCAAAAACAATAATCTTGTGCTTGTACAGTACCTGTAACATAACCAAAAACATAGATGTTTTTAGAAATCTCTGTTTACAATTTTTTTTAACAAAAAAAGGTATGGAAGATGAAGATTAGACTAATGTTGTCACGTCAGTCTCAACACACACACACAGGTATATGGAAATTAGACAA